ATCTTTCGCTCGTCAGCTACCGAGCAGGTAAGACCTCCCGGTAAATATTGTCAAGTGCACAAGTTGAATAGTTTATGTGAAATTACGCAACAGTGTTATTATCTAGTTCTAGTGAATTCAGAAAAACATACACTAACATTAGTTCAGTATTTTGAAAAGCCATAACAAATGTTACCCGTAAGGGTATACATTTTGTAGAATCGTACAGTTTGTAAATATATTAGAACCAACAGAAACTACCACTAGTAGAAACGAACGAAGTACTTTATGATACTTCACACACCCAATAGTGAATATGTTGAACGACACCTCGAAAGAATAAAACAAATACGCAGTCAACAGAACTTGCACACAAATGAAAACAATATGGAACTAGACTCTGACCCCTCAACTCTGAGGCAGACGCACAAACCGTCCGTTATCAAATGCAATCAGTCTTCGTTCAGACTTCGAACGATTCACATCGCTCAGCCGATACCAGTCATTTACATAACAAATAATAAACCTGCGACAGTGACCGTATTGCGTAGTTTACACAGCCAATCACGTGTCCCCATTGCGGGGGACATGGCGTTGTTTATCAACACAGTGACATTTATAATTATTATTTTCATCGTGTCAAATAAGTGTTATTCAACAAGTTAATTTTTCAAAGCTTTAAATCATGAATAATACTTCTGAAAATTTTATCACTGAATCACAACAAATTCTACAAGATGATTCTACAACTACCGCAGAATTTGTCGAAACGCATATTCTACCACAAATGAATCAACAGCGAACTTCTTCGCAAACGTCAGAAGATATCGAAATGCTTCCAAGTGACAATAATTTGCAATCGCACAAACCATATCCAGTAACTTTCAGGGACATGCGTTTCAACGCGCAATATCAAGAGTGGAAACTGGCCATGAGTAAAAAAGACAGCAAAATAAATCTGCACAAACCGATAATGTCACAAAAAAGGCAACCACAAAAAATTATTGGTTAGATCCGATACCAACCAAGAACTATTATAATCTATTACAATCAGTTGCTCCGGAAAACGACAAAATGGACGAACAGCCTTCAACTTCAGCGCCTGCAGTGGAAAAAGTTGTAACTCCGCCACCGATTTTTGTACATGGGGTCAATGACATAAAACCTCTAATAGAATTGCTAGAAAATAATATTCAGAAACTCTATTCATACAAGACCGTTGGTTTGAAGGAAGTTAAAATTAATACCAAGGATTCCCACACATACAATACTGTCCTCAAATTATTGAAAGACAAAGGTACTCAACTTCACTCATACCAGGAAAAAACAAAAAGGGCATTTAAAATTGTAATCAAAAATCTTCACCATAGTACAAACATCGAAATCTTGTCAAAAGAAATCTCAGATCTTGAGAATAAGGTCATACGAATTTACAACCTAAGACAGCGTACTACTAAACTTCCGCTAAACATATTCGTTGTTGAACTGCAGCAAGACAAAAATAATAAAAAAATATACGCAACTGAATTTTTATATAAAACAAAAGTTATAATCAAACCCATGCGCCATCCTCGAGAAGTTCCTCAATGCAGCAGGTGCCAATGTCTAGGACATACAAGAAACTATTGTACAAAAGATCCACGTTGCGTAAAATGTGCCGGTAATCATCTCACTTCAGATTGCTCATGGAAGAACCCAATTAACAGTAACGTAAGATGTGCATTGTGCGATTCAAACCATCCAGCTAATTATAAAGGGTGCCCAATATATCAAGCAGAAAAACATCGGCGATTCCCACCACTTAGGACAAAAGAAATCGCACAACAACCTACTACAAGTAGCAGACCCTCACTAATACGACCAAATGTTTCCTCTTCTCAAATAGTTAACAACGAACAAAACGCAAATAATCATCAAAATCCTCAAGAACATGAATCATCTACCAACATCAATCAAACAAATGTAAGTTATCAAAATGACATGCATGAATTAAAATCTATGATAAAGACCTTAGTAGACCAAATATCATGCTCAAACTCCTGACAACCGTTCATTTCAATATCAAATAATGGACACAAATTTCAAAATTTGCACATGGAACGCCAATGGTTTAATACAGCACTTACAAGAAGTTAAACATTTCATCATACAACACAACATAGTCATACTTCTCATTTCAGAGACACACTTCACAAGCAGAAGTTATATAACGATACCTCAATACTCCATCTATAATACAAATCACCCTGACGATAAAGCTCACGGTGGGACAGCAATAATAATAAAATCAAATATAAATCTCCAACATCATGGAACCTTTTTGTGAACATTTTCTGCAGGCTACAAACATTTCCGTACAATTTCTTCATAAATTTATAACTATATCATCAATCTATTGCCCCCCCAGACACACAATCCTGAAAAGCCAATTTGAGTCATTTTTCAACGCGCTGGGCAACATATTTATTGTTTATTGTACACACGTACTGGGGATCAAGGCTCATAAACCCCAGAGGACGCGAACTTTACAATACGGTTGCATCACTCAGTCTACTACCCATATCTACTGGCGAGCCAACCTACTGGCCATCTGATCTTCAAAGAATACCAGATTTGCTGGATTTCTACATCACCAGAGGTTTTCCAAGAAATTCGCTGAAATCTTCCACATGTCTGGATTTATACTCCGACCACTCTCCCGTTTTCTTAAATATACTCAATCATAAACCTATCAACAATCTAAATAAATACTTGACTACTAAGTTTACATGCTGGAACAAATTTAGAGAGTATCTAACCACATCTCTTCAACGATCTGCTCTAATTTCAACTCCCACGCCGAACAAAAATTACAACATTGATTATCCAATACAAATAAGAAAAAAGTGTCTATTAAAAGAAGACTTCGGAAACAATGGCAACTTACAAGATCACCGATGGACAAATAAAAATTAAACAAAGCTTGCAAAGAGCTCAAAACCTGTCTTCGAGAACACAACAATAAGATCTTTGAAACCAAACTGAAAAATCTATCAGCTACTACAGACACAAACTACTCACTCTGGAAAGTCACCAAAAATTTTAAACAACCAATTTTTCCTGTTCCAGCTATTAAAAAAGGAAACAACACATGGGTCAAAAATGAACAGGATAAAGTCAACTCGTTTGCCAACTTTTTCGAACAAATTTTTCACCCTCTGCCACAGCAATGCAGTACCCAAGAAGAAGAGTTTATTCACAATAATCTAAAAGATTCTTCAACATACGGCGACCATTCAGACACTCGTTTTTTTCTTTCTGAAGTAGCACTTCAAATAACGAAGTCAAAATCAGACAAAGCCCCTGGGCATGATCAAATCACGATACATATGATGAAGCAACTCCCACAAAAAGCCTTGAGATTTCTAACCATTCTGTTCAACTCCATTATCAGACTAAAAGTATTTCCGTGTTCCTGGAAAATTGCAAAAATAATTTTAATACCAAAACCTGGCAAAGATCCCACTCTGATGGAATCCTACAGGCCAATTAGCTTACTACCCATCTTGTCTAAAATTTTTGAAAAATTACTGCTTAAGAAGATCCATGCAATTTTGAGTGACAAGAACACAATTCCGCAATATCAATTTGGTTTTAGGAAACTCCACTCAACAATCGAACAAACTCACAAAGTAGTCCAGGAAATCAACTCATCTTTACAAGAAAAAAAAATATTGCTCAGCCGCATTTTTAGATGTCTCACAGGCTTTTGATAAGGTGTGGCACACCGGTCTCCTCTACAAGATAAAAACAAACCTTCCAACTAATTTATACCGACTACTTCAATCATACCTGGCAAACCGACAGTTTTTTTTTAATATATCACATTGCAACTCTCCTCTGAAGCAAATAAACTCAGGCGTACCACAAGGAAGCGTTTTGGGTCCCACATTATTTTTATTATTTACCTCAGACATGCCTACCACAGCTGACACCAACATTGCCACTTTTGCAGATGATATCTGCATTCTATCGAAACACGAATGCCCTACAGCTGCGTCTAACGCCCTGCAACAGCATTTAAATTTAGTAGAAATGTGGCACAAATTTTGGCGACTTGAAATCAACAAACGAAAATCATCACACATCACCTTCGCGTTAAGAATGGAAACATGTCCGCCCGTCTCTATCAATGGGGTTCAACTACCTCAGGTTGAACATGTAAAATACCTGGGGTTTCACTTGGACAGAGAGCTTACGTGGAAAAATCATATAATGAAAAAACGTTTCCAGCTTGAAGAGAATTTTAAAAAACTTTACTGGCTGTTGGGTCCGAAGTCCAAACTATCCACCTAGAACAAGCTTCTTGTATACAAAGTCGTCTTAAAACCGATCTGGAGTTATGGCATTTCACTCTGGGGTAGTGCCAGTCGATCTAATATAAACATCTTACAGAGAGCTCAAAACAAGATCCTTAAAAAAATACTGGAGGCTCCCAGGTATGTACCTAATTGGCTTGTTCATCGGGACTGCAACATACAAACAATAGCGGAAGAAATTAGCAGATTTGCTGCGAAATATAAGTCAAGATTGGAAAACCATCCAAATGAACTAGCAAAGGACCTACTTTCTGCGAACACTGTTAAGAGACTAAGAAGATTAGATCCACTAGACTTAGCATAGTTATATATTTAGTATAGTGCTTGTAATTATTCTCACATATTTATATTTATTATCTGCTTGCAATTATTGTCGCATATTTATATTTATTATACTAACTTGAAATACTACCAATGGGTAGTATTTTAAAAACTTATTTAATAACTAATCACAACAATTACTGAATGCCTTCTCAGGCAGTTGTAATTTAGATGGAAATAAAAAAAAAATCAAATGCAATAAACAACCTTTGAACTCTGCTGAATCTTCGGGGCAGGTACTGTTAAACACACAAAGCAAAATAATAACATTGAAAATAATGCGGTATTAGTCAGCAAACCTTTTACTTTCGGGAACAAAATATGAATCACATTGAAAACAATATGGAGTTAGACACCGAATCGTCAGCTGCTTGTCAGGTAGCCAATCCGTCCGCTATTAAATGCAGTTCACAAAATCTTGACAGCAATCAAGAATGGAAAGTTGCTACGAATAAAAAACGACACCAAAGTGAATCATTATCTAATAATGACACTGCAAAGATAGTAACCTCCAAAGTTTATTGGCTCAATCCGACGCCCACAAAAAATTATTGTGAAGTTTTAGCAAAAAATACCGCCTTACCCTCAGAAACTCAAAAGAAAAAAAACACAATCCAGCAGGCCTCCTCGAATATTTATCCGCGAAGTAGGAGATATCAAGCCGCTAGTGCAATTATTTGAAGACAAAGCCCAGAAACAATATAGCCTAAAACTGATCAGTTCTTCTCAGGTAAAAATCAATCTGAAAAATAGCAAATATTATACCAAAATTCTGAAGATACTGAAGGAGAAAGGTACACAACTACACTCATTCTAAGAAAAAAGCAAACGAACGTTAAAAATTATGGTAAAAAAATCTACATTACAGCACGGACACCAAGTTGTTTAAAGGCCAAATTGAAAAGTTAGGTCACAAAGTAGTTCGTATCGAAAACATGAAAAGCAGAATTTCAAAATATCCTTTGAATATGTCTACAGTTGAATTAGAACAAAATCCGAAAAATAAAGACTTTTATAAAATCAATTACTTATACAGAACTAAAGTGCAAATCGAATCTAAAGAAGTTTTCAAGGAAAATCGTTCAATGTACACTGTCAAAGGTACGGCCATACAAGAAATGTCACCGCACCCCAAGATGCGTGAAATGTGCTCAAGATCATTTTACAAAATGGTGTAAATGGGAAAAAAGGTCGATCAAGTCAAATGTGCCCTTTGTGGAGAGGATCACCCCGCCAATTACATCTATAGACATTTCCAAAGAAAATATCCTCCTTTACGACAAAAATCAGCAACGATTCCAAACTCTACTTCAAATCATATCCTAAGACCAGGATTAACTTTCGCAAACATTACCAGAAACAGCGCAACACTGCCCGAAGATGCAATGAACACAAACAACAACAACATCGGCTACAGTAATAACACTGATAACAACACAAATAATATAACAAACGACTTTACCGAAATAAAAAATATGATAAAATTATTAACAGACCAAATAAGCACAATGCTTAATTTACTCACGACCATTTTAAAAAATAACAAATAATAATATCTATACAACAAAAAATTTACTTATGGAATTCGAACGGCTTGAGCAATCATATGCAAGAACTTAAATATTTTCTATCGAACAATAACATAAACATTATGTTAATTTTCGGAACTCATTTCACCGATTTACACCATAGCATACGTTTTCAAAATTACCGACTATACTACACTAACCATCCGAATAGCAGACCACATGGCGGTACGGCAGCTATCATCAGGGCTAACATCGAACACTGCGAGATGGAATAATTTAACACCGACTTCCTACAAGCCACAAACGTCTCAGTAGACCTTATGACCCACCAACTCATTGTGTCGGCAATCTACTGTCCGCCCCCCACATAAAATTACAGAAAATCAGTTTTCAAAATTTTTCGACAGCCTTGGAAATATGTCCATTGCTGGCGGAGATTTTAATGCCGAACACACATTCTGGCGTTCGAGATTGATCACCCCGACAGGCCGACAATTATATAATGCGATTAGTAATAATGACCTCAGAGCATTTTTAACGGGTAAGTCCACTAACTGGCCAGGTGACTTAAACAAAATTCCTGATCTTATTGATTTTTTCATCACAAGAAACATTAAAAACAACTGTACAGAATTAAAATCAAGCTTGGACCTAAACTCCGACTACTCGCCTATAATCTTTCAATACTCGACTCAAACACCGGTCAAAATTTCAAGTTCAATCACAAATAAATTCACAGATTGGAACCTTTTCCAATAGAAAAGGTAGAAAACAATAGCTAGAGGTAGAAAACAATATAACTTGTAATATTCGTCTGAAAAGCGAAACTGATTTGAATAATGGACTAAAAAACTTTACAAATATAATTCTTGAAGCAGCCAAGTCATCAACTCCTCAAATGGATCATTCAAACGACCACTCCTTGCCAATTGACATTAAAATCTATAGCACATACAAGAAAACTACTAAAAATTTGGCAAATTACCAGATCACCCGAAAACAAACAAAAATTCAATCGAGCGTGCAAGGATCTCAAAACATTAATAATAAATTATAAAAATGATTCTTTTAAAAATTGTCTGCATAATCTTTCAGGAAGCAGTGATACAAATTACTCTCTGTAGAGAGTAACCAAAAAACTAAAACTACCCACTATACCTATACGACTATTAAGAAAATCGATAGCAAGAAGTCCTAAAGAAAAAACTAATGAATTTGCCGAACATTTACGCCTCACTTTTCAGCCGTACCCGAGTACATGCGATCCAAATGATACTACGTTTATCTACGAGTTTCTACATAATACGCCGTTGACTGTAACCCAGCCTGTTAAACGTTTCACAGTAAATGAAGTAAAGCAAAAAATCCTGAAAGCAAATGCAAGAAAATCTCCAGGCCAGATAAAATTTCTATCACAATGTTGAAAAAATTACCCGATAAAGCTATCAAGATGATTACAATAATTTTCAACTCAATACTGAGGCTAAAAACTTTTCTCCAGGCATGGAAAATAGCAAAAATCATTTTGATTACTAAACCAGGAAAGGACCCTCATCTTACAGGCCGATCAATTTGCTGCCCTGCATTTCAAAACTTTTTGAAAAACTGATCCATTGGCGAATCAAAGTTATCTTGCAGGGTCAGGATCTAAGTCCAAGCCACCAATTTGGGTTCCGCGAAGTTCATAGAATTGTAAACAAAATCAACAACGCATTCCATAGAAAAGAGTATTGTTCTGCAGCTTTCTTAGGTCTCACGAAGGCATTTGACAAAGTCTGGCACACAGGCCTAATGTACAAAGTAAAAATATGTCTTCCAGATACTTTACTTCAACTGATAAAATCCTATCTACAAAATAGAACATTTTTCGTCATTATAGCTAATACAGACTCAAATATCACTAATATAAATTCTAGGGTGCCTCAAGAGAGCGTCCTTGCGCCTACATTATTCTTAATTTATACAGCAGATCTTAATTTATACAAAGATCCATTGACAGCATCGTGCAATCTTCAGCAACATCTCAACAAAGCTGAAAAATGGTTGTCACTGTGGCGAATAGAGGTCAACAGCTCAAAATCGGTCCATGTAACATTCACACTATGCAATCAAATATGCTCTGAGGTTAAACTTAACAATACAATGACTCCTCCCAAGAAATCGGTGAAATACCTTGGCATCCACCTGGACAGGAAATTAAATTAGAAAATACATATAATTAATAAAAAACAGCGATTAGATCAAATCTTTAAAAAATTTTACTAGCTACTTAATAAAAATTCTGAACTCTCAGTTTACAATAAACTGTTAATATACAAGGTTGTACTCAAGCCCATATGGACCTACGGTCTCCAACTTTGGGGTGCAGCAAAAAAAAGCAATCTAAACATCATCCAACGTGCTCAAAACAAAATCCTGAGGCAAATATCCATCATCAATCAAGACACAGGCTTGGTCACAAGAAAGGAACAAATTTCAGTGGTTGCTTCTAAATATAAAAATAGGAATGACGTACATCTCAATGAATTGGCCAGCAGAGTTTACCTGGATGGTAAACCCACCAGATTGAAAAGAAAGTTGTCACAAAACCTCATCTAGTCCAGTTAAGTCCAATTCTATTTTTTTGTTATATTTGATTGTTTGTTTTTCTTATCGTTTTGTTTTTCTGTTTGTCTTTCTTTTTTTTTTCTTTTTTATTAATATGTGTTATATATGTTACGGTAAATGTGCACTCTTGGTGAATGTGCACATTCCCCAAAACGCTAGGTGAACGTGGAGTTTTCAAACAATCAATTTAAAATAATGGTGTACGTGCGTACTTGGATCGGTCTCATGAACATCTTGCGTATTTGGCGCATGCGCACTAAATAGTTAATCAGTTAATAGTTAACATTAAATAGTTGAATAGTAAAGTAGTAATATCGTGTATAATGAATAATTAATATTAAATAGTGAATAGTTAATAGTTCAATAGTTATAGGTAAATAGTTAATAGTTTAAGCAAATAGTTGAATAGTTAATGGTGAATAGTCAATAGTAAATAGTTAATAGTTAATAGTGATTAGAGATAACTAAATAGTTTAACAGATAATAGTTAAATAGATGAATAGTGAATAGTTAATAGTGATTAGTGATAACTGAATAGTTAAATAGTGAATGGTTAATAGTAAATAGTGAATTAAGAATAGTTGAATTATGGATAGTTAAATAGTGAATAGTGAATAGTTAATAGGTAAATAGTTGAATAGTAAAATAGTGAATAGTGATAACTGAATAGTTAATAGTAAATAGTGAATAGTGATAACTGAATAGTTAATAGTTAATAGTTAATAGTTAATAGTGAATAGTGAATAGTAAATAGTGATAACTGAATAGTTAATAATACATAGTAAATAGATAATAGCAAATAGTGAATAGTTATGAGTAAACAGTGAATTAAGAATAGTTAATTAAAAAGTCAATAGTTCATAGTGAAAAGTTATTAGATAAATTGTTAAATGATAAATAGTTAATAGTTAATAGTGAATAGTGATAACTGAATAGTTAAATAGTGAATATTAATAGTAAATAGTGAATAGTTATTAGTAAATAGTGAACTACGAATAGTTAAATTGTGGATAGTTAATAATAATAACTGATAGTGAATAGTAAATAGTGATAACTGAATAGTTAATAGTAAACAGTGAATAGATAATAGCAAATAGTGAATAGTTATGAGTAAACAGTGAATAGTTATGAGTAAATAGTGAATTAAGAATAGTTAAATAGGTAATAGTAAATAGTGAATAGTGATAACTGAATAGTTAATAGTAAATAGTGAATAGTTAATAGTGAATAGTAAATAGTGATAACTGAAAAGTTAATAGCAAATAGTGAATAGATAATAGTAAATAGTTATTAGTAAATAGTGAAATAAGAATAGTTAAATAGGTAATGGTTAATAGTTAAATAGTTAATAGTTATTAATTAAATAGTTATTAGATAAATTGTTAATTGATAAATAGTTAATAGTTAATAGTGAATAATAAATAATGAATATTAATATGCATATGACTAAAATAAAAAATATAAATATAAATATAAAATATAAAGATAAATATAAATATAAAAATAAAAATAAAAAGAGTGCGCGTAAGGATCACACGCGATTGAAGTAAAACTTTTAATATTGTATGAGTAGGCAATTAAGATAAAAATAAAA